GTTTTCCACTTATCGTGTTATCGGTGCTGCATATATGCTGAAAAAAGTGAAAAAACTGCATAAATTCCCTAAAAGTGACCCGATCATGCTGATTTTCGAACTTGACCTGCGTATTATGAATATTCATCAGTTCTGCAAGTTTCAAGTCAAAAGGTAAAATGGTTTTCCACTTATCGTGTTATCGGTAAAAGTGCACGGCGACGGCGACGGCGACGACGGCGACAGCGACGACGGCAACGACAGACGCAGATGATGGCTATATGTACAGACACATCTGTGTCTGTACATAAAAATCCAACATAATTCTTTAAACTATAGTTAAGATTATAATTACAACATTTCTGCTTCAGAAACTTCATGCTCTTGTCAAAACAATATTTACATTTAACAGATTTTCAATTATGTAGCTGTCTTACTAAGACATACCTGAAAGTTTATTCAGATCTTTCTCTCTCATTCTGACATAAAATTTGTCATTGCCAATGTCAGCAACATTTTGAAAACTTAGTGTCACCTGACCACAGATTCTCATGAATGACTTACTAACTGGGTCAGCACCATGGTTACCATGATCACTCTCTGACCAATGGAGAATCAAGTTACAACTGACTTGGGGGTTGACACCAAATTGTGGAATTTCTGCCCAAGCAGCAACGCTAATCTCTTCCCCATGAACAAGACACTGTTTGGATTTCTTTGAATCCATCTTAAATTTCAGTCTCTTTTCTGGAATTGAGTCTCCATCAAAATTATGGTGATTTAATTTCTCTCTCTTTGATGATAAAGCTTGGACTTTGGCATGAGATTCCATGTGCTGCACATTACTATTGGCACAAGGGACAATAGAAATCCAGATGTCAAAGCAATCACTGAAATGAAATGAAAAAGAAAATACACAATAATATGATTAAATGCTTAACAAAGTCATTTCAATAATTATTCCCATAACTATCACTAGGTTAACTGACATATTTCAGTGAGCTATCAAATGAAAGGCCATTCATGATCTTTCTTGTAGGCAAAATACCTCTTGGCAAATAAACCGTTTTTTATTTCAAAATGAATCTCAACAAGATCTGCATGATACAAAAGATCTGCCACTAGTGGCAGTAATTTAACAAACCATTATTATGCAAACAACTCACATTTGTGACACATTTTCCAGATCAACACCAATCACCCACTTCTCATGAACCAATCTCTGCCAGGTATCCCTCACTTCAAGGGTGTCTAGACACTGATAGCCTTTGGTCAAACCAGAGGAACTGGTACCTGTGTTATCACCATGATCAGCTTCCCTTACTGGACCCACCAGATGTACAAGATGTGGCTGATAATGTAGTTTTGAATATCTTTTAAAAGTGAACAATTCTTTAACTGCAGGAACTGGTCAAAAAAAACTATATACAATAGAATAACAGCCCCAAGTCATAAGGTGCACTAAGTAAGGGATATTCTTTATTGAATGTGCTGCAATTAAATGTAGTGCTGTCAAATTACACTTTGTTCTATTTATAGACCTTTAGATCAACTTCAAAATACCCTGTCCTCCTACCTTTGGTCACTTGAATGGAATAGCTCAAAGTTTATCAATGTTTACAACATAAAATATATTATTATGCAATTAAAAAACACTAGTCTATAATATTTTCTCCATATTTCCGTGTCATAATTTTATTTACTGATATCTCTTACTTCACAAGTGATTGGCACTTTTCTACCCAGATTCATATTCTCTATATTCTGGCATGTGCGTTCTATCAAACTCTGCTTCTTCCTGCACAAATATTCTGCCTCCCTTACTGCTGACAGGCCAGCCTAAAATAATACCAATTACCACATGACACAGATCAATCATTATTTGATTAAAATAAGAAGTTTCTGAAATGTAATTTGACCATGAAATTAACACTACGATTGGTCACTGAGCTTCAGAGCCATTGCATGTCAGCTACTTGATTTTAAAATCTCCATATTATCTTAATGTTTGTGTTATGACATACAGAAAATGAAAAAAAAAAAAAAAACTGGCCACTGTGTAGTTTTTCAGAGTAGGAAGAAAAGAGAAAGTGACAAAGGAGTTTAATTACCTGCAATCTGGCTTCCAGAGCCTGTGCAGTTCTTTGGAGATTTTCCTCATGATCAGTGCAGGGCACTTCAATATCTGCATTCACCTGACAGTGTTTATTATTACTAGTAATAATTAATTAGTAGAATTATTTTATCAAGAAAGGTACAGAAAATGACATAAATTCCAACATTAATATTAACATCAAATAAATTGTGAACATCTTCCACAGTTATAACTTTACAGGGGTTTTTCTTTTTTCTTTTCTTTCTTTCTTTTTTTGGGTGGGGTGGGGGGGGGGGGGATTGGGGGCTGGGGGATATCATAATAATCATTTACTCAAATGTCCAATGTGCCACTTTTAAAATACTACACAATTCCAAATTTCCCTAAAACTCATTTCTATTTGTCTACAAACACCTTGGTTTACCAACCTGTTCAGAATCAAATTTATGCAGGCAAAAATCTGTCAGCAGGAACTGTGTGACCATGCCCTCTGTACCATCTGCATTGTTGTACACCAGCAATACTTGGTCCGAGCCACATCCAATAAAATCATCCACCAAAACTTTCTTGACATCTTGGAACAAATCTACCTGCTGTAAAACCACAGGACAACATGAGTCAATTCCAGATCAGCAAACCTTGTTAGACTTTCTTGATGGTTTCAACCTGATATACATTTAAAAATTATTTTTATTCAAAGGTGTAACCAGATTATGTGAACATTTCTCTTAAAAATTAACTGGCATCTGATGCAAATGAAAAAGTAAATGCGTTAGGTGAGCCACTATTATATGTGAACACAATCCCATGTGCATCTGCCATCTGCAACTAGAGCAAAGCAAATGTGGTAGAGGAGATAATATAATGAGAAACAGATTGTTTTATTAAAAAGACTACAACAATTATTTCAAATAATCTCCACATAAAGTCCCAAGGAACTTTATAAACCATGAGTAACAAATGATAAAACAGCCATCATGATTGCTAAAATATACCTTTAAATGGAGCTCATCGAAAACAATCAACTGTCCAGTTGCAGAGGCCACTACCACATTACACTGACCACCCATGGTCTCCACCACTTTAACATCAACAGCATCATTAAAAGGCATTTGGACGCATCTGTGGACAAGTCCATTTTGAAACTGCAGCAGCTGACCATGAGTTGTGCAAGCAAAAACATCTGAACTGAAAGTATTTGCAGAATAACTTGTGTCCATATCTGAAGACTGGGCATGTGTCTTGGTTATATACCATGCTGACAATTCTGACTGACTTGTCCTTTTGGGAGTGCCTAAGTGCTGCACTGTCATACAGCTTATTATGTCTGCATATATGTCTGGAAATAAGTTTGTTGGGGTTTGCTCTACAACAAAACTAACTTTGTCTTCCACACTTCTAGAAAAGACAGCACCATTTTTCTTGATGATAAAGCCATAAAATTTAAAACAGTCGTCTTCACTGTCACTATCAGAAATGTCCTGATCCATCCTTTCATGCTCTTTAACACTGCTCTGGGTCTTGCAAAGAATGTACACCTGTGAATCCCATGAGTCAGGGATCAATGAAGCCCACTTTAACTCCAAAAGTGCTGAAACGTGTACCGGTAAATCCACTTTACATACAACAGTATTTGTTGAATTTGGGTAATTATGTGTAAAACTTACAGTTAGGCCTTCAATCCATAGCACATTTGGTCCATCAAATAACTGTAATTCCTCTGAGTTTAACAAAAGCAGCTGAGAGAGATTTTGTTTGTCAGAAAACTTTCTGATGCAAATTAAGTTGTTTTCACTTGTTGTAATCACATAATAAACGTGCCCCTGGTTTACTTTCCTCTCTGATCTCTGAAGAAGTATGCAGTTTATGTTTTGTCCTGTTGAAATTTCTTTAACCTTGCAAACTTTTAGAACATCAAAATTCACTCCTGGGTTATATGAAATATCAACAGGAGAGCCACTTTCCGCGTCACCACAAAACCTGCAAGTTGCAAGATCAAAGTTGTAAAAAGTACCTCTAATTTCAGAAAGATCGTTATTTCCTCGTGCTCCCCAAGAAAGTGTCAGCAGTTTTCCGTCACAGGTAGTGAAATAGTGTGATTTGGTGGCCATTTTAAGCGACGAAGGGGACAAGTGTCGGCCTATTTCAAGATAAATGAGCTTCGTACGAGCCGCTGTCCTCCATGTTGTAAGCAAATTGGGCCACGAGGAGCAACAGCCAATCAAAACAGCATATTATTGCGGTCATCCAATCACTAGCTTAATAATTAGGTCAATTGCAGTTGCCCATTTACCCGGAAGTGGAACTTGTGACAGAATGGCCGGAGATGCGGCTTTGCTTTATCAGGTGACACATTATTACATTTAATAACATTTTCCTTGCCAACCTTTAAGAGTCATTTCTAATTTAGGTTGCATATTAATGAACTTGATTTTTTTGCAGGAATTTCAAGGTCAAGTGAGTGAAGCAAGAGAAGAATTCTTCGAGAAGTACAAAGGTATACTTCCCTCACGTGATGGCAAACGTAAACATTGCTTTCAGGGTCATGCATGTTTTACTTGGTGCACGTCAAAAAGTGTAGGCGTATTTGAAAGCCTGTTAGCTTCAGTTTGGTTATCTCGTTGTGAGATAACGATAGTGATATTGTCACGAGGATGTCATTGATGAAAAATATATTTAGACATCATTGACTCTGTCAACGTACTAGTACATGTAACACAGACATGTACGAGTATAAATTGTATATATTAACGGCACATGGTCCTTTGGGCGTCTTGAATTTAAGAAAAGAAAAAAAAAGACAGAGTACTTAATTGAATTTATTATAAATTTGAATAATGTGATACATAATTTATGCAGAGTGCTTATATCACCATGAACAAGAACAGAAAAGTGAATTGTAATGGATACTGTGCATGGTAGATGTAGGTTAATTATGATCTATTCCTATGCAGCAGAATAGGTCAAAGTTTTGCTCAGAACATTGATATGTAGCAATGTCTTCATCACTGACAAGGACAAAGAGAACATCATGTACATTATGGCATCGATTCATAATAAATCTAGATAACTACCTGCAGTTCTCCAAACATCAAATGTTCATCATTCATCATCATCTTATACTTTTATCATAAACAGAGGTAATGTTTACAAATAGTAAAACATCATGATTATTGGTTATTTTATCACAGATTTTGAGGTTTGTCAGAAGAACATCAGCAAAAGGTGACTTTTTTATGAAGGCAAAAAATTTCTGAAAAAGTATTCAGCATATGAATCTGTCACTTTCAGAAAATGTAGACAAGAAGCTATATGATGAGAGAGACCTGTCAAAGCTCCGGTCAGATGATCTCTGGGTACGTCAGTTCTTGCTGAGCAGGAAGGGAGTAGTGGAGGATGCTGTGGTCATGATGGACATGTCCCTGAGGTGGAGGAAAGAATGGGGAGTTAATGGTATGTTAATAGCAAACAGTGTTTAATTAAATTTTATTTATTTATTTATTATATTTTTTTTGCTAATCCAAATTTTGAACTTATTTGTATAGTACTGATATAAATTGAAAATTTAGATGTTTCTAAACTAGTAAAATAACAAAGTTAACATAATTTAGCCAGAAATGGCAAACTATGTATTTTGCAGGATTTTGTATTTCAAATTAAAGGTTTTGTGGCAACTTGATTGAAAATTATAATAACATTCAATTTTGGATAAATGCTTATTAAAGACACTAGCTTGAGGATTTGTTTTGAAGCATGCACGTACTTCTTTTAGCCTCCATATTTACAGACAGTTGTCTTTTTTCCTCACTTTCAGATTTGAAACATGATTCCTTTACACTAGATTTTTGGGAGGGAGGTGCTGTTTACTTCCACAGTAAAGATAAAGATGGACAAAAGATATGTAAGTTAGTAAACGCAAAATATTGGTTAGAATTATATTCATGAAAAATCTTTAAATTACTTTTATATTGCATTCATTTTAAATTCATTTATTTATAAAAATCAGCAGGTAGCTATTTGTTATAAAAATTATCTCTATTGATAGTACTGTATAGCAATTATTTTAAATGACCTACATTGAGCAATTATATATTGTCAAAATATAACTTTAAATCAGCAACTCTGAAAGCCACAAAGAACTGTTAGATTCTATTTTAAAAATGTTTGTAAGTACTAGTCTAAGAGTTTACAGTTTTTTTTTGTTTTTGTCATTTATTACAGTGTATTTTGATGTACAGCAGTGTAAAAAGGGTGACCAAGATGTCATGGTACAAGTAAAGAAATTCATAGCTTACCATTTAGAACTGAGTTGCAGAAAAAGGCCGGGAGAGAGGATAGTGCTCCTGATGGACATGAGTATGGCAGGAATGTCCAATGTAGTAAGTAACAGAGATGTTGAGAATAGCTCTAGTTTCAAAGCCGACACAGGCTGTATTCTTCATTTTTAAACTTTCATAGATTTTGCTTGACGTGCCTGAACTTTAGTGGTATTTCACAGAAGCTTACTGTGCCATTCACAAATATTAGATGGGTCTGTAAGCTATGTCGTATACAGTTTTGCGAAATCAAGATGGCTGGATATATGTCAGTACTTGGCATGGCACACTTTATATGAACTCATTGATGTCAGTCAGTCTGATAAGTGAGCACGTATTATATAAAGATTTAAAAATGAAGAAGCTGTCATGAAGTTCAGGAAAGAGATAATAGAATGAGAAGTTAAGGCAGTGCAAGGTCTTGCACAGTGTTAGTTAGTTGCTATAATAGCTAATGGCCTACCTCATGACTTATGCCAGTTTGTGACTAAAGAACTCCTCCCTGCCAATTACAAGTAATAATAGAATAAATTATCGTTTATAATTTAGTTTAGGTAGTGTAGAACTTTGAGTTATGCTGGTTTGTAATACATTTTCAACATTACCAAGTATTGAAGTAATTACTATTTCATTTCAGGACTTAGATTTGCTAAAGTTTCTTATAACAGCCTTCACAACCAACTTTCCAGCTCTTCTAGGTATGTCACTAAATAAACTTGAATTGATTAAAAATGTTTAGTTATTTATTAATTTAATTGTTTACTTTTTTAACTGCAATTTTCTCACTTTTTTTGATGTTACATTAATAATTACCAGAAATGGCACAGTATAGATATTTTCTAAATGTGTATTCAAATTATGTTTTGCACACATAAAATGATGATTTTTGTTGATTTCCAAAGTCATTTCCTTTTGTGACTCAATTAACATGTGCACCTATATTGTTTTTTTTCCTTTCCAGCATATTTCCTTATTTATGAAATGCCATGGTTATTTAATGGTAAGTGTATGGATATGAAAGATGATGATTCAGAATATTGATTCTAAACAAAACATGTTATTTTAATGCACAAAGGCAATTGTAGCTTAAGCCAGTGCACAGTGCATGTTAATGCTAATTTGATTAATTTGTTTTTAGGTACAAATTATGATTGTTTCTCACAAAGTTGAATAACTTTAATACCTTATTTATTTTATTTATTTTTATGTCAAAACGAGTTTTTCACAGAATCTAACCTTTTGACATAGTTAAATCTATTGCAAACCATGTGATCTAAAATATCAAACAGGATATTAGACTAACAGTGCTTCATTTTGGGAAATATTTCCATTCAGTTTTGTTCAAATATATTAATCACAGCATCATAAAATGTGATTTATATTTCAGCAATTTGGAAGATTGTTAAGACTTGGCTAAATGCAGAACAAAGTAAAAGAGTGATATTTGTGAAGAAGACTGGAATTCAAGAATACATCAACAAAGAAGAACTCTGGGAACACATGGGAGGCTTGGTAAAACATTTTGTACATTTTGTTATCCATTTCTCTGATAAGTCTTCAAATATATGTGGCAATAGCTTTTTATCGTGTGTATATTTCGTATTATCTTGATGTGTGAAACAAAGTAATAGAAAATCTTGTAGACTAAAATATGTATAACAATATTTGAAATCAGCAATATTCTGTTGCTCTCATTTCGCCCAAGATGTCGGAGTATTCCAAGACAAGCTAAAACCCAACTACACATAATTATGTGCAAGTTGTAGTCTTTCCTCCTGGCTTTCATATAATTAAAATTCACCATTTTTCAATCTCCTGTTTGTTAAAACAGTATTGTATTATGACAGTTTTGTTTATTTATTGATTTATTTTATAGGATACATATAAATATCACTACATTCCACCTACACCAGATGAGGACAGTCCAGGATCAGATAATTCTCCAACTGGGAGACGGAAACAGGTGAGAGACCATAGGACAATCTGAATGAGTCAGTTGTGACATCATAATGATCACAACTTGAGGCTTCCTCTTACATTGCTGTGACATACCTGGTATCCGTATTGTTTTTGTCAGGGCATTGTGATGTCACAGTGTCATTTTCATCTTAAAAGTTACAATTCTGATATCATAAAACATGGTAGTGACATATAGTGACATATCCAGCTTTAAGTGTCCATGATTGTGAATATCACAATGTATTATAACAGCAAAATAACATTGTGGTCCTAAACTATAAGCATTGTGACATCACAAAGAATATAAGCTGTATGTGATGTCATTTAAGACAAGGGGCTCTATGGCATCACAGATAAAAACTGATTGTAAGGTGAAAGCATTATGACATCACAATAGAATATGTGTTGCTAAGTGACAGTGTCTATGGCAACACTGACTGCAGGGTTTGGGATGTGGCCTGCTAATGGAGGACTGCTGTGAGTTCCCTAGAGAAGGTTATGTGCAGGAAGTTGTTTGTTCTTATGAAGATTTGATAGCCAAATCATCACTTGATACGGTGAGAATAAGATGATATTGTTGAAACAGAGCACCTTTTGGATTTAATACAAGTTCACGTGTGCAAAGGGTGCCTTTCATTTTTCTTACCTAAGATGAATGTTTACTTGCTTATTAGCATTAATTAGCAATAGTTTAAAAATGCAGTTTCTTATAGAGTCTCTACATTGTGTGGATCTCCAGTACTTGCTTTTGCCTCATGTTGATAATCATATTTGACTGCTTGCCCCTCTTTTTATGTATAGCTTTTTTGAGTCGCCTCTTCATCCTGATCTTTTATTGTAATCTTTCTAATATAATATCTTCCAGCTGCTCAAAAATTTTCAACCAGTATTTCAACCTTTAATTTTTTTATTTAATTTTTAAAAGTGGACTTTTTTGATTGGCCATTCTCTCTCCTTTTTTAAAATATTTATCTTAGGGTAAAAGTTTGATTATATAACATAGTCATGAATGTAACATCAGCAGTGAAACATATGAAGCATAACAGAGAATTGTTACAGGTCACATTTGCTGAACAGGACACGATGTATAATAGTTTTGATGCCAGTGGGGAGGTGGGAGAGGATGACAAGTCTGATAGATTGGTAAGTTTACTCTTTATGTAAAAGTCTGTAAGTTTATAATAATGGAATTCAACCAAGAAACACAACTTTAGAATTTATGAGAAAACATGCTACTTGAAAATATCAGTCATGAATAAATTCTCTCAGATTTTATTCATTGCAGCACCGCACTCTATTGTCTAGCATAATTTTTTTCTGGCTGATCCTGCAAAATCTTACTTCATTTTATGCAAAGTTGCAAGTCTCTTGGCTTGCTTGGATGGTTGCCATTGTAAAATTTGGAGCCATTTGTAAGTTTAAACTAATTGTAAAAGCCATAGAATTGGCAAGTTTATTCCAAACACTCACCAGATGAGAACTTCACCAGTATTAGTGTTGAAGTGCTGAAGTTCTGAATCTCTGCCTGGGTGAAAAAGTTTCAAACGATCGTTGTTAGGTATATTTATTTATTTTCATTTAAATTACAGTATAACAAGCATTATCTACAGGCAATCCAAGCAACCAGATGTCATCAACATCATCATTATTATTATTATTATTATTATTATTGATTTTTCCTCTTCTCAGAGCATGTCAAGTGTTCTCTCCAGGCAGTCTCAGGGACCAGGCAGGCAAAAGATGGTCAGTGGTAGGAAAAGACAGAGAGATGATCAAAATATCTACACAGGGCGGCTCATAATTATCAGGTAACTTCTACTGTTTGTATTTGTTATCGGCTTTCAGATCTACTACTTGGCTGTATTATCACATTTAATCTGAGTTGTTATAAGGCAAGTATTAATGAACATTTTGACATTTTCTATGAGCTCTTTTTTGTATTTCTGGGGGGAGGAAGGATGTATAAAAAAATCTACTCTGTCATTTTTGGATGTTGATAGGTATATGTTGCAACAAATGTGCATTGCCATGAATGAATTATGATAATTGTTCACTGTGCAGCTTCATTGTTTTCACCATCAAATTTAAAAGTATCTTTAATAAGTTTACAGTTTTAAGTTTTTGCTATGAAAGAAGCAATAGCTTACCTCTTACAGCTATTTGTACAAAAAAAAAACAACTTTTTTTCTGTTTTAGTCCTGCTGATGAATTGGAGTTTGCTGTGGTTGACAATTCCAAGGAAACATTAGATGTTATTTCTTTAACTAACAGAATGCAAAAACAAGTGGCATTTAAGGTATCAGTTGAGAGGATTTTTTACTTGTACTGATCACATGCATCTCTACAATTTTTTTTTTATGTTTTAAAGTATCAAAAGTAGTATATTTTATTGCAATGAAAGTAGGCACTATCCAATAAGTATATAAAATGATCTTATATGATATGGGGAGCAATTTATAAGGAATATTTAATCTATACAGCCAGTCTTCATTTTAATGTTTTTCTTTCTTTATGTAATTTTGTTTTTATTTATTTATTTATTATTATTATTTTTTTTTGCTGATTTGAATATTTCAGATGTTTGATACAAAATTCTTTTCAGTGTATATATTAAAAGGAATGTATTCAATCGTTAGAAGCAATAATGTTTTACAGCCCCAGTTTTAATAAGGGTTTAGATAATGTTCTTTTGTTACTCCTTTCAGATAATATTTGAAGAGTCTGTCAAAACTTACTTTTATCAAATGACTGAAGGATGTGGAAATGATAATTGTAAAAACAAGTTTTGCAAAAGTTCTAAAGGTAAGTTTGCCACTTTTTTCTTCCTTGTTCGTCAAAAATCTCAGGTGATGCAAGTTTGAGTAATAGTCAGTTATTTCCTAAGTAATTTCATAAAGAAGCATTCACATTTTCTTAAATGTTCGGTTCAGTTGAATTCACATTATGTATTGTAAACGTTTCAAATAAATTTTGAGGGACAACGTTAAATTAATTGTGGTAATGTTGGAAGACTACTCAGAATAATAATCACAGGGATGCTAGTCTTCCGGTTTTTACCGGAATTCTGTTTTTTTTGCGTCCAGTTATAAAATTTTCTGGTACTATATTTTGTTCTGGAATTCTCGTTTTTAACGTGGTCGCGGACTGGACGAACGATGCGTCAGAGGAACGTCGCATTTCAACCATTGCGACAGAGCTGCGTTTCAACACAATATCTAGTCACAACCGTAGCACGTGATTTATTTATGGCGCTTGATTGGTTGGAAATGTAGGCTTTAATGTCGGCACCCATGTGGAAAGTTTTGACACCGCGTGCGCGGAATTTTGAACTAAACCAAACTAAATGGATTTCGCGGAGAGGGGAACAGACGATATTAGAAACATCGACATTACTGTCAAAAATAGATTTAGTTGGAGTTTTAGAAACTTTGATTAATGAGACTGCAGTTGGAGCCCCATTGTTGCTTGGGCATTACCACGAAAGCCATTACCAATCTTTGAAAATGATAAATGAAAGGGATTAACATTTAGTGACTATCATTATCATGCTGGTGATTATCAAGCTTACGTGAGGGATCATTACTGTCTACTATGGGTGGTAGGTGTTTATGTACTGATGGCACTTCCATCTTGTCAATGTCAAGATTATCCTTGGAAACAACTGTTGAAAATTACCATGAAGTTGTGATGACATATATTGCAATATATTTATTAAATAAAATTTGAAATATAGTAATTGTTTCATAATCAATTTGTACCCCCCCCC